TCTTTTCAGGCTGCTCACCCCATCGCCCACCCTCCTCCCTTCTCTCTCATGCAGGCAGGTTATCCTGTTAGAGAGGGGAGAGAGAAAAGTTCTCCAGTGGCAACAGAAAGAATGTGCCATGCTGTGACCGACTGAACCGCTCTTGCGCTGGAATTAACAGAGCTTTGCACAGCCATGAGGCTAAAGAGCAAGTACAGTGCTGCAGAGGAATTTATTGTTGCTGAAGGACAGACGAGTTCCAGTTTGGACCAGTATGGTGTGGAAGGTTTTACTGGGATTTACATAACCGTTGGCCCTCTGGGTGTCCTTTCAGCTTCCCGCTGTTTGCAAAGTCGGAGACGGTCGTTGCAAGCCGGACCAATTGTGGGACACAAAGTTTCCACTCAGTAGAGAGTATCACAACAAAGACACACACAACTCTTTACAGAGCAACGTCAGGCATTTGCTGTGGCCCCCTTCGACTGTTTCCATGAGCTGATGGAAAAAAAAGTGCAGCTAATGGGAGTGGGGGCAGTGGCGTAGGATGACCCCATCTGTGATTGTTATGGCTCTTCTTACTAATAGGATTGGAGTCACCAAGCTTGAGTTGCTCCTTGGAGATGTTGCGTGCTGCTGCCCAATCGGCAGGTTGCGTTAGACGTGTTCCCAGCTCGGGCGGTGATGGGCAGCACGCTAGGCCAACTGTTGCGTAGCTGAGCTGGAGCCCGTAGAGGGGGATTGCCCTGATTTCATAAACCTCTCTTGGAATTATGTTCAGCTCCTTCTGTGTTACCTTGCTGTGGGTGAAGAGTGCACTCAGGCCTCCTCGAGGCCTTCAAGTCACTTCACACACTTTCAATGCTTAGAATAGGACTTTCTGTATTGGGTCGTCACTAAATCTACAACTTGATATTTCATTTGAAAACATTTCATTTCCATCATTATTTATATATATTTAAATCTGTTTTACACAATCCTTTCAGAGAGTTTAGGTCTTAAAGGACCTGTATTGTGCTATTTTACACCTTCCAGAGCAACGTAAGCATAACATATGACAAAATATCACCGTTGGCACTATTAAAATATCATTCTTTCTGAAATTTAAGCTATTTTTGTGACCCATTACTTTAACCCGGAAAGAAGACACTTGGGTTAGATCAAACCCGCCTCCCCTCCACAATAATACACATCTATAGACAAAGAGCCCACAGATTCACTCTAGTGGCAGATTTACTGTCCCACTCAGACCTACCTCGCATACACCACTGTCCCAGTCCATCCCTGACGCTCACCCACACAACTTTATACACATTCTACTAGCGGTTAGAAGGTAATTGTACTCACAGCTCTGGCTCTTTATCAGGTGGTTTTAATGTTGGAATGGCGCCGGTTTGAAGAGGTAGTCCGTCTGAAAACACACTCTGGTACTGGTGGTGGTTTAACAAGCCGTCTGTGAAAATATGTTCACATTCTGGCTCAGGTTTAGAGAGCTCCTGAAGATAAAATCCAACCATTTCCACCGATTCTTCAGACAGACTGGACAGGGGTCCTGTTTGTCTTTTAGACAAAAATCCATTTTTGAGTTCTAGGAATTATTTAAAGTGCAGACTAGATAAGAAAGGAATCACTTCACAGCTGTGGAGATTAAACTCCCTTTTAGCTACACAGATTGACTGGATATAAGTGTTTACAGTCCAGAGGAGGAGGAATCTGGACTTGAGAGACTACCTGCATGGGTAGAAGTGATCCCAAGCAGACGATTTGCAGCTGAGACAGGAAAATGCTTGCGTGAAGCCAAAAACAACTTTACGGGGGTTTTGATTAGGAAATAGCAATAAAACATAGTCAAAAGCTCCAAAAAGTGGATTTTGCATGATATAGGTCCTTTAAAGGACTAATGAGCTAATGTCTAAGTTTACATGTAGGCAGGGCCAAAGCATATTAAAGCCAAAACTTTAAATTGCAACATTTTTCTTTACATAACTGTCGATGTTGTAGTTCTTGGCAGAAATATGAAGAAAATCCTGTTGTGCTTGACCCATGGAAGTGTTGCTGGTGGCATTTATGTTATAGATTTACATGTAAATACCAGTAAGGGGATGTGATTTTGACGTGGGTTCATAAAATAATGTTGCAGGAATCTTCTGTCTCAGTTGTGTTTGGACTAGCCATCAGCTCGTCAATCTTGTAGGACGGAAACTTTTTCTAAGAACAGAGGCTGTTCAGGAAGCTATCTTTAACAGATAAAACAGTAATGACTTATTTTTGTACAGAAACACACTTCAAAAGGACCAATGTGTGTGTAATGTTTGCTTGTAAACGCAGATTTTAAGCATTCATGAAATCACTTCAAGACCCTCCTGTTTGGTTTTACTTTGATCAGCACCACAAAGCAAACGGATTTCAGTCATTCGTTAATTTTATCTGTTTAATGTCCACGATTTCCTGCCCTCGGATGTGCTGTGTGTGCTGCCACGTGTTTGATTTTGTTTGTTTGTGTGTGTGCGTTTGTTTTTGAATGTGCACAGGAGTGTTGGACATCAGGAGGGTTGGTGACCGGAGGTGACTATCAGAGTAGTCTAGCCACCATAGACACTAAACTGTAGACTCTGCATCTGATCCTAAAGTCTTAGCGGATAGTCTTTTCACTCTGCTCTCTAGAACAGAAGTCAAAGAGAAACAGGCAGAAAATCAAACTAAACAAAGCCTTGATGATGTCAGATCTGATTAGAAGCAACACTTCTGGCCGTAACTCTGGTAAACACATGTGGTTTACCATAGAGGCTGTAGCTCTCTAGTTCAACTCTACCCTCTCATGGTTACGGACTAATCATAGCACTGTACTGTCTCACCATCTGTTAGTGTAACTGCAGTACAGCGTGGAGTAGTCTAGTTGTTCTCTAGCTCTGTTAGACCAGCGTAGACTAATATAGAGGTCTCAAATTCCAGTTTTACAGCCTGTCTGTGATTGCATCTTCATGGTATGGTGTGGTTCTCTTCTCAGATTCAACCTTGGTGCTTCTCTACATCATACTCTAGTTTCACAAGTTGCTGCATTAAGATCAAAATATAAAAATAAAAAAAAAGTGAAATAAATGTGTGCAGGATATAGAGGGAGATCCGGATCGCCTGAAAGTGCTCGGGATTCAGACTGGTTTCTCTCTGTTGTCATCTCTTGCGTCAAAAAGCTGACAAAGGCGGGAGCAAACGGGCACAAACAAACAGAAACCGCGCCGCTCCAGCGTCAGAGTGGCGTGATTGACGGCTCCTGTCTCTCTCCCTCCCCTACTTCCTCACTCCTCTCGCCCTCTTTCTGACACACTTCCCGGCCCTCCTCAGAGAGGAGGTGAGGTGTGTTTGTGATTGTGGTGCTCATGTGAGATTCCAGGAGATCACGTCACATGCTGGTGGCGAGTGAGGCCGGGGGTCACTGGACGTTTCCAGGCTCTCCACCTGAGCCCTGCATACACCATCATTTATGTTCACACACACACAGCTGGCTTCAATAGGTAGCTTCAATCAGACGAGGTTTTATCCTGTTTATATCCTTACGCATCTACACCTGAAATCAGCAAATTTCCATGATTTCCACTTGTCAGCTGTGAACTGCAGGTTTTTATTGGCATCACAATTAAAACTATTGCAGCGTTAATGCATCTACAGCTTCCAGTAGTCAACAGGAGAAAATCATCAGAATATACGTTGTTATAAAGAATCAGGATCTCAGAATAATAGAGATTTAAGATGTAAAATGAATAAGAAATAAACTCAAAACATAAAATCAGTCACAAAGCAGAATACTCACAAATTGCACAGATGATGTCTTTTTTAATTTATCTGTTCTTTATGATATTTAATCATCTTTTTTTATTCATTTATTACTGAATCCATCACCAGTCCACCACAAGAACAGAAACAGTCCCTCACTCACACCTAGGGTCATTTTAGGGTCACCGTTCAACCTAAACATGCATGTTTTTGGTCTGTGGGTGTCCTCCCACTGCATGGGGAGAACATGCTAACTCCACACAGACAGGCTGTAGCCAGGTGTGCCACCATGGAACCACAAAAACCTTTTAAATTAAAAAACATCTAGTGTAAAGTTTGTAATGCCATAAAGATTTGTTTATTTAATAGGGATAGATACAAGAACATAGACAAACTAAACCGCAGCCCCGTGCTTGTAGCAAAATGCATTTAGCCATAGCTAATTTGCAGCATTTGTCACTATGTGCTTTTAAAACATAGTTAAAAGAAACAGAAGACAAATTTAAAACATTAAATAAAGAGATTAACAATACACACAATAAAAATCATAATAAAACAACCAGTTTGGGACACACACAGACACAGAGTGGTGGCAGCAAAGGGAAAGAACATACACCATTTAAACCTATTAGACTCGTGTGTAGCTCCTGCTGCGACAGCCAGGCTTTTGTTTGCTTTTTAAAATGTTTAGACATTTGAACACTATTTATCCAAAACAGGTCACTTCGTAAGGAATTGTCTCATTTTTAGTCTTAAGCTCACGTTAAAATTTCCTTTTTTTTTTTTACATATTAACAAACATTTTTCACATTTTTTTAATCTAGAATTTTTTTCCCACTTCACCAGTTTTAATCATAATTCAAATGATTTTAAACAGGAATTCATTCAGTGGATGTTAGATTTAATTTCCAAAAAGAGATTGATCGTTTTTATTTTCCAGTCATAAAAAAGACTTTCTGTAAAACTTTGAGTTTATTAAAAATATATTAGCATGTTTTTCTGTAGCCAGTCTTTACCTAAAGTTATTAATGATGTCATGTTTAGTTCTCTGCTATAAATGGTTCACATCTAGACTTGTGTCTTAAGTTGTGTTGGTTTTAGTGAGCCTCACCACCAGCTGTAGAAATAGATCTTTACATGACAAGAAAAGTCGTTTTACAGCCTGCGTTTTTAAAGAAGCTTCTGATTTGTGAGCCTTGCATTGTAGCACGTTAACTAATCAGCTCTTTCGTTCTTTGTATCGTCTCTTCTAGATCGATCCGAAAGTGGCGTTTCCTCGACGAGCCCAACCTAAAGTAAGTGGAAGTGTCTGCTGGTGTTGTGCATTGTTTGGTCTGGTTTGTTGAGAGTTTCAGTCTCTTATCTGGGTTAATGTCACCTAATCTGTTGAAGATGAGCTGCTGGCTCCACTGAGCCGTTATAGGAGTTAAAGTTAACAAAAATCTGCACAACTTCATATCTCAAGGAGCCTGGCTGTTTTGTTTTTTGTTAGTAGCTCTTTATTTTGAGTTTTCTATTAACCTGAGCTGACTGAAACCAAATGAGTAGATTTGTGAAGACAACCATATTGTGTATTTGGTGTTTTATTTTAAGAAAAACATTTTAAATTAGGTTTTTAAAAATATTTGTGCTTCATTATCTTCTTAATACAAGTCAAATGTCTATTGGTAATTAGGATTGTTGCAAAAAATAATCAATAATTTACTATTACAGAGTTTCAATCACATTTTAAGCAAACACATTTTGAATTTATTGCTCAAGGGAGTGCACCTTTTTTGTTTTTCCCAAATTAAAACAAATGTTACGGATGTAATAGTAAATATTTATAGATTTAACCCTGAGAAGCATTCACTCAGCCCAGAAATGCACCAAGTCTGAGGGACAGATGCGTGCAGTTTTATTGATTTTCTACTCTTGCAGCTGGTGACTCGAACTAAGAAGATCTTTGTGGGCGGCCTGTCGGTGAACACGACCATTGAAGACGTGAAGCAGTACTTTGACCAGTTTGGGAAGGTGAGCAATGTGGGGGAAGTGTTTTAAAGTTGGGCTCATGTCAGATTTGTTGTGAAAATATCACGAAAGAAAAAGTATTAAGTAAGGTGTTTTCCATCAACATCCCAGCATCTCGGCTGGGTTTGATTCTCCACTCGAGTCTGGAGCCTGGAGATGAAGGAGTTACAGCGAGGGAGAGGAGGGTGCGAAAGAAAGGCTGGAGGAGAGTAGGAGGAGGAACAACAGGGCTGTGAGGCTCCAGGAGCGGCGGGCGAATGGGGGGGAGGTGAAGAGGAGGGGGTCAGTAGAAAAGTTTTGTACAGAGTGTGTGGTGATGGTGAAGAAGGAGGGGGGATTATCAGAATCTGAATTAATCTGATGTAACAGCTGCTACTACCCACAACCCCCTTCTGGCCCGTTACCGTGGTGACCTGGCTTGCCCATTGTCCCCGAGTAATTCTGTGGGTTAGGGGTTTTGTTCTGAAGGAGGAGGGATGAGGTGGTGTTCGGGGGTGTTAGAATCACTGCACTGGATGGGTGGGTGGGGGTTACGAACAATAAAAACAGGCTGAATGACTTAAAAAAATCACAAAATTAACGTTTTTCACATTTCTAATTGTTTTAAAGTCTCTTTGAGATTATTTTGGAGACTGAAAAGCAGAGAGGAGAGGATGGGCTGACAAAAGGTCCTACTGGGGAAGGAGGGCCTTATTGGTGGAGGCGTAGGAGAGGGAACTGGGGCAAAGATGGGGGGGGGGGGGGGGGGGGGGGGGGGTTGGACAAAGGCCATTATGCCTCTAAACAAAGTTAGGCAAATATTTTGTTAGTTTGTTCAAAAGATGTACAAATGGCTTCTGAATCCTTCTCACTTCATCCTGGTCATCAGTAACAGGTGTGTGATTAGATTCTGGTCCATGGGGAGAAGAAAAAAACAATAAAACAATAAATCATTCAAAAGTTGTCAGCATCTCGAGCCCTTCAAACTTTTTTAAAAACAAAAATGCAAAGACCGCGTTTCTGACCGTGCTGTGGTGCCGTATTTTGCGGCGCCTGAAGCCGCGGCCTCCAGTTTCTCTCTGCTCCCTCTTCAATCATAACGTCTAGATGAATTTTTGCCAAGAGGGACATTGAGGGACGGATGGTAAAATGTAGGCTGCAGCCATCCATGGAAGTTCCTGATTAGACTGCCTCACTGGACCTTTTGTGTCCCGTCCTGCTAAGGACAAAGGAGCGCGTAGAGGGATGGGCAGCAGATAGAAGGGAAGATGAGAGGTGGGGAGGGAAAAATGGGATGAGAGGGAATATTGTTTGGCTGTATGCCATTATTTAATGCCTGGTGTTTGAAAGATCGACCTGTGGTGTGCAATAGACTATTTGTGGCTTTTACCGTCGTTGTTGTTTAGTTTCCATCCTCCTGGGTGGCTTTGGTGTAAGCTCATGTCAGGATTGTACAGGATACTTTTTGGATTCTTCTAAATCATCTCAGATTGTTTCTGGTGCTTGAGACACAAAAACATCTAAAAGTTTGAGCAACTGTCAGGCTGGAAGCAAACCGCAACTGACTCAAAGGTTTTCTTTCACACGGAACCTCTTGGGTCACCCTTGACCTTTCTGTGGGCAAAATGCCCTCAGGGGTTCACACACACGCACACACACACACTGTCCTATCACTGACACTCCTGCGTGACCATGACGGATTATTTTGGGGAACTTGTCCCGTAAACTTATTTTAGACCGAGAGCAGAGATGAACTTACCAGATTTTTACATGAGTCAGGAGCTGAGACTGAGGATCAAAGAGCTCACGGCAAGAGCAAGGAGAGACAAATCTGAGAAATGGATCAACTTTGACATAAGAAACTGTGTGTGTGTGCGTGCGTGCGTGTGCGTGCGTGTGTGTGTGTGTGTGTGTTGAATAGACACCTGTGTCTTTGCTCCATAAAGGGAGGCTGGGCCGAAGGGAGAGGTCAAAGGAGAAGAGGAGGAGGAATTATGGCTGACTGTGCCAACAAACAAAGCCTCCAGGCCTCTTTGTTCTCCCTCTGTCTTTGTTTCTTCTTTTTCTTCCCTTTCCACTTTGACCCAATCTTTCCCCCTCTTACAGGACTCTCTGTACTCTCTCACCATATCTCCACCTGTCCCCATTCCTCTCACTATCAGCTCTCCCCTCTCATCGAGTCTCCACCTGCCTGCAGGATTCACCTTTCTGCTTGTGTGACTGGCTGCTTGTTTGTGTCTTTGCAGTCCTCTTTTGTCTCACTGGCGCGCTTCCAGCTTTCACAAAAACATATTTGAAGTTAGTAGGAGTTTTTTTTTCACAGTTGCCATGGGGATAACAGACTTTGAGGGAGGAAAGGGGGCACACTTTGGGCTCTCTGGCACGACTTTTCATGCTTCTTATTGTCTCTGAGTTTGTTGTATAGTTTTCTACACATTTTCCCATCTTTGCCCCCTGGACCACCACTTTATAACCTGTCGCTTGTCTCCAGCCCCCTTCCTCCCCCTTCCTTCCTCCTCCTTGTCCATCTGTTGCTGAGCCTCCCCCTGCAGAACTTGAGAAGGGCTGAGGTCAGGCAATATGGCACGTGGCAGGACTGCGCTGCTCCTAAACTCCTGTGTCGTTTGTCTTCCCTCAGGTCGACGATGCCATGCTCATGTTCGACAAGACCACAAACAGACACAGAGGTGAGACAGGCTGACCCTCTCATTCCTCCTTATTCTTCATTTACCACTGCTCCTCCAATCCTTCCTGGGTGTCTATTGATCCTCCTCCACCCCCCACAAGAGTCTCCTTCCTGTGGGTTGAGCTGGATGAGACAAACGGGGCTAGTCTAATTAGCCAGTCTGTTAATCGGGATCAGGATAAAGCCTCCTTAAGCACCTCCTTCCCACCCTGGGACTGATCGATTATGACAGCCTACCAGCTTTGCCCTGTCCTTCTGGCAAGGCAGGATGAGTGCAAAATAGCAGCGTTGAAAGTGTGTGTGTGGGGTGGGGGTGGGGGACTTGTTAAGCAGCTATTACAGCACTAATTACTGCCGACTCAGAAAGACCCGCTGTCTAAATTCACCATCATGTCTGTTTTATATATTTACTTTTACACAAACTCTTCTCGTGCTTGTCAGGTTTCGGCTTTGTGACCTTTGAGAACGAGGACGTGGTGGAGAAAGTTTGTGAGATCCACTTCCACGAGATCAACAACAAAATGGTGAGCAGAGCGAGTCGCCCTCTGATGTCACCGCACCTCAGAGAAACAAGTCGTACCGAGTCCTCTCTTGTCCTCCGAACAGGTGGAGTGTAAGAAAGCTCAGCCCAAGGAGGTGATGTCCCCCACCGGCTCTGCCCGGGGACGCACTCGGGTGATGCCCTATGGGATGGACGCCTTTATGCTGGGCATTGGAATGCTGGGTAAGCCTCCTCGCCTGAATATGACACCAGATCATGGCTGACCCTTACTCTTTATCCCAGAGATGTCCCAGAGACGAGCCAGAGGAAGGTGCTGAATACATAAACAAGATGTCTCTTGCTTGTGCAATCTCATTCTCAAATTAAGACTTTAAAAAAAATTTCATATCAGCTTTAGTTTCTGAAGTCGGTTGATCTTCAGACATGTTTATAATTACATCTTTCTATTATATAGATTTTGTTATGCATTTTTCCACTCACAATTCATTATTTTAAATGTCTATGCTACTGTAATCAGCCTCGTTCACGCTGAACCATCCTAGAGCAACAACTGGAGTGCAATACTATCTTTAATGTGTACAATTTTCTAATATTATTGTTTTTTATGCTATCATATTTGTATCTAAAGGCTGAGAGCTGCCAATGAAATTTCATGGTGTGCATACATTATGATCATTCTTATTCTAAAATGATCCACGCGGGCTCAGAAACTACGGTTAAGGATGGTTTATTCACACAGGTGGCCGGCTCTCGTCTAGTTTAGTTTTTATGACAGAATGAATTCTGGTTTGTTTAACAGATGCTAAACTTTCCTCATCAACACTGCCATCCAGTGCTCATTCTGAGAGATGCTTTCAGATTTAGTCAAAAAATCCAAATTTGGCTCAGCCCTGTCCTTGTGAACAAATCCAGACCAAAAGCTCACAAAAACATCACAGACTGTAAAATGTGTCAGTGTAATACGCTGTTATCACCCACGTGATCTCTTTCTGTGCTTGCTTCCATCTCCGTCTTGGTCAAATCCAGATATGGACTGATTGTCTCCCTGCAGGTTATCCGGGCTTCCAGACGGCCACTTACACCAGCCGGAGCTACGCAGGCATCACTCCGGGATACACCTATCAGTTCCCAGGTAATCACAACATCTCCCTTTTTCTGATAAACTACGTCAGACTCATATATTTTATTTTAGTATGGTGGAAGTGTTTACCAGTGAAGTATAATAAAGATGTGATTTTGAAGTTTGTGATTCAGACGATGAAAAAAACAAAAAGGGACTACATCTTTTGTACGTTCTTGCTGTGTTTGTCTTCAAATTCCATTCTTGGTTCTTTTTTTCAACACAGATAAGGTTTTTCTTTACCTTGCTGACGTTTCGTTTGCGACTGCAAACATCCTCAGAGCTGACGCTGATGGTGGCGTCACTTCCTACTCTGTTTATCGCGGGCAGCAGAGGATGTTGTCGCCCTCTGCTGCCCGCTCCCCCCTCTCCGGATAAACGGAGTAGGAAGTGACGCCACCATCAGCGTCAGCCCTGAGGATGTTTGCAGCCGCAAACGAAACGTCAGCAAGGTAAAGAAAAACCTTATCTGTGTTTAAAAAAGAACCAAAAATGGAATTTCAAAAAGAGACAATACAGGTTTTAATAAAATAACCTGTGGAGACATGTCTCCTACAGTGTTTGTGTGTGTGTGTGTGTGTGTGTGTGTGTGTGTGTGTGTGTGTGTATAAATACTCACAAAATTATACATATTTTAAAAAGAATTGCTTCATCAGTCATATTTTCACATTGTTATCCTGATTGTCCTCCAGCAGGAGATTTTTATATGTTTCTGCACATTCAAGTTGTGTTTATAAATGGATAAACATGGAAGCACACACGGCTGAGATTGTATGAACATTCCAGATACAGTTGAGAGTACAGAGAGTGTTGTTTAGCTGCTGGAGCTTTTGTGGGATTTCCAAAAGCAACAATTGGCTCTTTTCTGTTGTTGCAGCTGTAAATGATCTTGTTGAAGGACTAAATGGGTAAAATCAGGCAGTTTGCAAGGTTAAAACCAAACCTCCAGCCTGAGACCTGGTGGACACATACAGTACCTACCTTACCAGCTTTCACCTGTCTGACTTCAAGGTTGGGTTTTAATCCACTCACTGTAGGATTAAGATGTAATCTGAGATTATTTTACTCTCACTGCCATGTTGAGTAACTAGAGCAAATTTTCACTTTTTATTATCCATTACCCATTTGTTTCCTGTGTGATCTGTTTATGGACTCGTGTGGTTGGCTTTGTTGAATTTTGAAAACAGTTTGAAATAAATTCCATAAATGCCATTATGGATGTCTCACCCAGCGTGTAACACACTCAGATTAAACCTGAACCTCTACACAGCGGCCAACAGACCCACATGCCACAAATACAAGCATATTTCTATAGATGAATCACAGCGAGTGTCTCTGGCTGCTTGTAAATATCAGAGTGGAGTTGCTTAGCTTTGTGTGTGTGTGTGTGTGTGTGTGTGTGTGTGTGTGTGTGTGTGTGTGTGTGTGTGTGTGTGTGTGTGTGTTAGCATGGCTGGTTATTTGTGCAGAATATGTGATGATCATCTGGGAAATAATCCCAAAATTAGATTTCACCAAAGAAAAACATCACTTGTGTTTTTTTTAATATAAAATCTCATCCCAATTGAAGTTCTTAGTTTTGTGACAGATTTGTGACACTTGCTTCATGCCTTTGTATTTAAGAATAATGAATTTTTCCGTGTGATAAAGCTTGTTTATATCCTTTAATTTCTGTTTGCTTTCCTCAAGCCCTTTCTGCCCAGCTCCTCACCCACCCTAATGTGTGTGTGTGTGTGTGTGTGATGTCCTTACCAGCAGTGGCAGTGTGTGTCTCAACAACACTCTGATGTTTCTGTTTTAGAGTTCCACTTAGAGAGGACTCCCCTTCTGACTTCACCCCACCCCCCTGAGCTCACAGGTCAGTCAGTCCCTCCTCTGGACTTTACAAGCAGCACGTCATCAGTCTGCCATGCTACACCACATGTTAGCACCTGATCACTTCCATGTTTGTGTTTGTCCTTCTCCGCCTCTTCCTGAAGGCAGGACTGGTGACAGCAGGAAGGGAAGTTTGAAAAGGCTCTGTGTTAATATGACCGTATGACTTAAAGGGATAGTTCAGAGCTTTTGTGGAAGGCTTATGATTAATTCATCTTAACTTGTCTAGAAATCTCATTGAATGACCTCAGTTTGATTGTTTTCATATGCTACGTGCCTCCAAAGAAGATTACTATCATCTGTAAACCACTCTAATCTCAGATATGTTACAGCCGATCATGTGAACTTTTCTAAAAGCATTTCTAAAGGTTTTAGTGGAATAGTTATTCCACCAGAAATGAGCTGGAACATGGACTGGAGATAACAGAAACTGTAAATAATTTGTCATTTATAACTTATAATAAGGCTTTAAAAACCAAGTTCACAGAGAAACAGTTTTTAACTTGTTAGTTTTTAAATTTGATCGGTTATTCTGAGCTTCGCATGCAGTCTAAACATCTTCTTTCTACCCCTATTTCCTGTATTAGCCGCTGATTAAAAAATAGGACGGTGAAACTCAGATTAGAAAAGCCAATCAGAGCTACGTCACGTTGTCACTTAACATTCATGGACTCACCCATCTTGGCTCGCGACTTAGAACGCTGTTGCTGTTTTAGTGTCCAGGAAACGGCAGAAAACGTCTCTGGTTGAAGCTAATCGTTAGCATTAGCAAATCCATAACATGGCAGAACGTCTTCAGGCTTTTGTCATTAGTGGAGATAAAACGTCCATGTTTCAAAACAAACAGAGTCAGTGGAAGAGTTGTGTTGCTGTTTACTAATCAGAGGTGAGATGTCCAGATATCAGGAAATAAAGCCCGAATCACGCTGTGCGATTTGCGGCCGTCGCACAGGATTGTTCGTGTCGCACTGTGAGAACTCTACAAAGGTGGCACACTGTTACGGCTCAATATTTCTGTGAGTTAGACTGCACAACGTCTCGTTTCAAGGACATGCTGTGCCATGAGCGCACCTCCCGAAAGCATACGTCACTAAGCAGACCGCTAGCCAAAATGTTAGCACTTCTTTTCAGTGTCAGCTCATGACCCAGCTCATCTTCCTCAGAGAGGAAGGATCATTTTTAAAACCCTCGCTTTGGCGTCAGACTCCAGCTGCGGGTCTCCTTTACCCATCTTCCAGCTAAACAGCTGAGCTGTCTGCTGGTCATTCATCCTTCTCATTTATACATAAAAACCCACTAAACTACAGAGGAGTAACAATCTGTCACAGATCTAACCAATCTATTTACTCCACAGCTCACCACACTCGCTGTCACGGACACTGACAGTTTGAAATAAATTGTGTCTTTCAGCATTAATAAACAAACCTGTATAATGTGCAGTAGCATTTGAAAATGTGACAGAAAATGACATCATACCATCAAAACCTTAAAAGGTGTTACTCTAATAATGCAAGGAGGTAAACAAAAGTAAGAAATGTTTTCAGGTGTATTTATTGGAGCTTTTCATGCACTAATTCACCAAGATGGGAGGTCTGAACTTTTTCTGGGCTGACCAAATGTTACCACTAGCTAGAACGCTGATAATATCCACCGTATCAGCACCACAAAAATTATTTAACAGCCAGAAAGCGTCACTCCGCCCGTCCTGTTCGGCTCCAGCATTCCACTCTTCTGCCGCCCTGGCTCGCTGCCTCCACATAACACTTTAATAACCAATTGTGTACTCACCAAGCAAATACTTTTCAGACGGGTATCTTTAATACTTTTCCTCCCAGCCGTGAACATTTTCTCCTTTTAGAAATAAGTTGTTCAACTCTTATCGGCATAGACATCAGTATATGATGTCTGTGGTTACCGGTAGCATGTTCAAACAGCGGCTGGCTCCGGACTCTGATTGATCCCGCCTGTTCCATTTGCTGATTGGATTTTTGTTACTGTGTAAATTTCGATCAATATTCGGTATAATTTAGTCTTCATGGAAGTACAAATGTAAGTTTTTGCCTCGTTTTTGCTTCCAAAAATTGTCACAAAAAAAAAAAAGAAAATATTTTGTTGGTGTTTGAAAGACAATCGTAGATTCCGCCCCACGACTGAGCTCTGTCTATGGGTCGTGGCCAGACTATACATTCACTTATAAAAGAAGGCTTGCCAGGCTAGGAGACACCTGTCAGAGTCCAAGCCCCCAGGCCGGGCTCTCCCAGCTGACCGGCTTCCGTCTTGGACCACATTACCCAGCATGCCCCTCGCGGGGATTCCCTCCACATTCCACCTGCGTCAATCCATGTCTATATATGGAAGACGCTACACCGGCTCTTCACTCAGTCATCGTTCCACCGTGATCCATGATCAGAGTATTTCCAAAGCTACTACAGCTAAACCTCAACCATTCCTCCTCAGACCTCACACGTCAGCCTTTCCAGCACCGCTTTCAGCCCACCGTCTGTATAATAAACGCTCTTACTCCCGAACCCAGTCTTCGAGTCTGACAGGATGACTGAGTCCATTAATCCAGCGGAGTTCGAGCAGGTGAAGAGAAAGATGGAGCAACTGGTGAACGAGAACGTTAAGCTCCACACCCAGGTCGACCGGCTTAACACCAGACTGAACTCCCAGACCGATCTCTCCATGCAGTTGTCTTCTGCCGTCACGGCACTCCAGCAGCAGGTTCATGCTCTCCACCTGCAAGCCCTCACTCCACCGACGGGAGAGCCACACTTCAGTCTCCCGGAGAAGTGGAACGGAGAGACAGGGAGTCCAGACGGTCTGCTCGCTACCCTCGAGATGCAGTTCAAGTGCCACCCAGGACGCTTTCCCACTGCGCGTTCTCGAGTGGCACAGCTCACCTCCCTGCTCACCGGACGCGCGGCAGAGTGGGCCGCTGCGCTCTATAATTCTAAATCACCGGACTGCAATGACTACGCTGCATTCGTGGCTGCCCTCAGAAAGACGTTTGTTCCACCCAGCAGCGAAATGGGGGCAGAGGCACGACTCCTAAAACTCCGCCAGAAGGAGCGCTCTGTGTGCGCTTATGCGTCGGAGTTCCGCACCATCTCCGCCAAGCTGCGGTGGGATGACTCTGCCCTTCGAGCCGTCTTCTTGGAGGGGCTGGCAACCTACATCCGGGATGAGATGGCGGGAAAGGAGCTGCCCCAGAACCTGGATGAAGTGGTGGATCTGGCGTTGCGCATGGATCAGCGGGTTCTGGTTCGGCCCAAGCCCTTCACTCGCCCATCCAGGGCGCCTGGACCTCTTCCTCGTTCCCCCACGCCTGCTCCCGGACCCGCTTCTACTGATGAGCCCATGCAATTAGGCCACCTTCCTCCAGAGGAGAGACAGCGACGGTGGCGCGAGGGTCTCTGTGCCTATTGTGGCTCCTCCCACCACAGACGCCTGAACTGTCCATTACGTTTGGGAAATGAAGGAACCCACTGAGTATCGGGGTTGCTCAGCCTGGGTCACCTTCAGCCCCCACCTCTTCAAATCGACTCCTTCTTCATGTTACCCTCCTTCATGGTGAGGCCTCACTCCAGATGCACGTGCTGGTGGACTCGGGGGCCGCTGACAATTTTATGGACATGGATCTGGCTAAGCGCCTACGGATCCCTATGACCCCCTTGGAGAGAGTTGTGCCAGTGACCTCGGTGGACGGTAGGCCCCTCCAACCCTATCCGGGCCAAAACCGAACCCAGCCACTCCAGATGATTGTCCAAGGCCACAGAGAGACCATCCAGTTCCTGATCATATGTGCTCCCTCCTCTCCTCTAATCCTGGGATTTCCCTGGCTCCGTCTCCATGACCCCCGGATTTCCTGGTCCCAGGGCCGCCTTTTGGAATGGGGGGACCAGTGCCAGGCCCACCTCTCTCCTCCTCCATCCATGCCAGACTGCCCGGCCGGTGACCCTGGCCCTACACCGCCCAATCTGCCACTGCCCTACCGGGACCTGGCTGCGGTGTTCGACAAGCGGCGCGCCACCACACTGCCGCCTCACCGCCCGTACGACATGGAAATCAAGCTGCAACCAGGAACCAGTCCACCCCGGGGGCGCCTTTTTTCTCTCTCTCCCGCTGAGTCCAGAGCCATGGAGGAATATATTGACCAGGCCCTCCGGCAGGGTTTCATCCGACCCTCGTCGTCCCCAGGTGCCGCAGGCTTCTTCTTTGTGAGGAAAAAGGAGGGTGATCTCCGCCCCTGTATAGATTACAGAGGACTGAACAAGATCACAGTCAGAGATCGTCATCCTCTGCCGCTCCTCACGTCCGCCCTGGATGCCATCTCCCAGGCGCGGAATTTCACCAAGCTGGACCTCCGGAGCGCCTACAACCTGGTCCGTATCAAAGCTGGAGATGAGTGGAAGACGGCGTTCATCACCCCTACCGGTCACTGGGAGTACCAGGTCATGCCCTTCGGACTGTGCAATAGCCCCGCCGTTTTCCAACGCTTCATCAATGATGTCCTCCGTGACATGTTGGGACTGTGGGTGTTTGCCTACCTGGATGACATTCTGATCTACTCCAAGTCAGAGGCCGAACACTACCACCATGTTCGCGCTGTCCTGACCCGGCTCCTGGACAACAACCTGTTCTGTAAGCCCGAGAAGTGCTCCTTCCACCAGCGGTCCGTTTCATTCCTGGGCTACCTGATTTCGGATCAAGGTCTAACTATGGACCCTCAGAAAGTCCAGGCGGTGAAGGACTGGCCCCTACCAACCAGCCTGAAGCAACTGCAGAGTTTTCTGGGTTTCTGCAACTTTTACCGTCGATTTATCAAAGACTTTAGCACCATTGTGGCGCCTCTCACCTCTCTCACCCGACCGAGCCCTCCTGGTCAACCGTTCCGGCTCACCCCAGATGCCGTTCGGGCCTTCCACTACCTAGTCGCTCGTTTCACATCGGCTCCTATCCTGCGCCATCCGGATCAGGCAGTCCCTTTTGTGGTCGAGGTCGACGCTTCGGATGTCGGCGCCATCCTGTCCCAAGGCGGCCCAGATGACAGGCTACATCCCTGCGCCTACTTCTCCAGGAAGTTTTCCACCACCCAGCAGAAGTACGGCGTAGGGGATCGCGAGCTGCTGGCCATAAAATGGGCGTTGGAGGAATGGAGGCAGTGGCTTCTGGGCACCACTCAGCCGTTCACCATCTGGACTGACCACCAGAACCTAACCCACATCCGGTCAGCCAAGCAGCTAAATCCTCGCCAGGCTCGCTGGGCCCTCTTCTTCGAACCCTACGAGTTCCATCTCGCCTATCGCCCCGGGACTAAAAACCAGAAGGCGGACGCCCTCTCCCGCCAGTTCACACATTCAGCGCCCACGTCCGAGCCGGCGGCCATCCTCCCGGAGCACCGTTTCGTGGCCCACCTTGGGTGGCCGTTGGAGGAGGCCATCCAAAACGCCCTCCGGGATGACCCAGCGCCGCCAGAGACCCCTGCCAGTCGGCTCTACGTCCCCGCGGCCTGTCGCAGTGAGGCGTTGGCCTGGGCCCACTCATCACGTCTGTCTGGTCACGCGGGCTTCTCTCGGACTCTCAAGTTCTTGAAACGGGCTCTCTGGTGGCCACGTATGGAGAGGGACGTTAAGGAATTCACGAGCGCCTGTGACGTCTGCGCCCGCTCTAAGGCATCCACCCAGGCTCCGGTTGGCACCCTCAGACCTCTTCCGGTGCCCAGTCGCCCCTGGTCCCATGTGGGGCTGGACTTTGTCACAGGTCTCCCGCCGGTCAATGACCTCGACACCATCCTAACGGTCACTGACCGGTTTTCCAAAGCTGTTCACTTCATCGCCCTCCCGGGCCTTCCCTCAGCCCGACGCACTGCAGAACTGTTTCTGGAGAATGTGGTGCGTCTCCACGGGTTCCCGGTCGATGTGGTCTCAGATCGTGGTCCCCAGTTCACGGCCCGTTTCTGGAAAGCCTTCTGCCATCTAGTGGGAGCTTCTGTCAGCCTGTCTTCGGGCTACCACCCACAGACCAACGGTCAATCGGAGCGGGCGAACCAACAGTTGGGCCGGTACCTCCGCTGCTTTGTCTCGGCCCAGCCCTCGCAGTGGCCTAAGTACCTCCTCTGGGCGGAGCTGTCTCACAATCTCCACACCTCCTCGGCCACTCAGATGTCCCCTTTCGAGGTCTGCTATGGCTACCAGCCCCCAGTCTTCGCCCACCAGGAACCCGAAGTCGCGGTGCCAGCCGCTCAATCCCTGGTGAGGCGCTGCAAGAACGCTTGGATCAAGGCGCGGGCCTCCATTACCCGAGCCAACGCCCGTTACTCACACCAACACCTCCGCAGTCACCGCCCGGGTCCCTCCTATGCTCCAGGGGACAAGGTCTGGGTGTCCACGGCAGGCCTCCGGGTCCGCGCCGGTTCCAGGAAGCTCGCTCCCCGGTTCCTCGGGCCCTACCCCGTGCAGGAGGTCATCAACCCGGTCACGTACCGGCTGCGGCTGCCTACAAGCCTTTGCGTCCATCCTACCTTCCACACCTCCCGGCTCAAGCCTTACGTGGAATCCCCCCTCCTGCCACCTCAGGCTCCAGCGCCTCCGCCGGCCCGCTTCCTCGACGGTGAGCCCATCTACACAGTCTGGTGCATTCTGGACGCTCGCCGCCGGGGTCGGGGCTGGCAGTACCTCGTAGATTGGGCGGACTACGGCCCCGAGGAACGCTCCTGGGAGCCGGCCAGCTCCATCTTGGACCCTGCCCTCATCTCGGACTTCTGGGCCCACCGAGGTGGCCCGGGGACTTCTGGAGCCATCCCTGGACCGGGGGGTCCTGTCAGAGTCCAAGCCCCCAGGCCGGGCTCTCCCAGCTGACCGGCTTCCGTCTTGGACCACATTACCCAGCATGCCCCTCGCGGGGATTCCCTCCACATTCCACCTGCGTCAATCCATGTCTATATATGGAAGACGCTACACCGGCTCTTCACTCAGTCATCGTTCCACCGTGATCCATGATCAGAGTATTTCCAAAGCTACTACAGCTAAACCTCCACCTTTCCTCCTCAGACCTCACACGTCAGCCTTTCCAGCACCGCTTTCAGCCCACCGTCTGTATAATAAACGCTCTTACTCCCGAACCCAGTCTTCGAGTCTGACAACACCACAGATGTATTGAAAAAGCAACTGAACTTGGTTTTTAAATTTAGCCTTCACTTCAACACCTTTGAAATTGTCTACCATGAGTTGTCTACCATGTTGCTTCTGATGCAATTATCTAGTCCAGTCAGAACTCATCTCTCGTTCTCCAAAGGGAAGTTGGTCAAAGGGCTTCTGCCACAGCTAGTTTATTTATTGTTAATAATATTTGCATTGAACCCAACTTTAAACTGTCCTTTTAAAGCTCTACTAGGTTGCTGTTAATCCAAGTTCAGCCAAACGTTTTTATCTGGATCTTTTCTTCATCTTTTCAGCCATTCCTCTCACGGCCTACGGACCAATGGCAGCTGCAGCTGCAGCAGTCGTCAGAGGTATGAACAGATGACAGTTCTGACTTTTGAAGGATTCAAAGTGCTTTATAGAGATTCAATAATCTGTTCGGACTCTGTTGGTGGTGGTAAATGACATTGTAGCCACAGCTGGCCTGGGGCGGTCTGACAAAGGTGATACTGCCCCATTCTCACTTATCTAGGCAATGCAGGTATAGCGTCTTGCCCAAGGACGCATCAGCAGAATGACCAGAAACCGGCAGCCGGCAGATTTCATTTCTGCATTTTATTACATACAGAGATCTGTCAGAGATGCAAGACTTTTTAGTGAAAACTGGACATAATGTTTCAGTTGGGAGGTAGTGGGTCATCTGATTATGTGATTCTCCTTTCAATCAATGTACTGGTGTGTGTGTGTGTGTGAAAGGGATACACGATACAGATCAGAGTAATTACTGCAGATCCTTAAAGGTTTGAAAATTTACATTTTAATAATTGTATTACTCTAGTCAGTGTAACACCGAAGCACTGCCCCCCTTCCTCTGCAGAATAATATAAAGTGTATCTGTAAGAGTTTGGATCTGTGTAAGAAACATCCTGATCTTCCTCATTTCTTTGCTTTCAGGCTCCACCCCATCTCGCTCAGCTGGATTTTTAGGTACAAGCAGCCCAGGTCCGATGGCCGACCTTTACGGAACAGCCAGTCAGGAGTCGGCTGTCAGCAGTTACCTCAGTGCTGCGAGCCCTGCACCAAGCACTGGATTTAGCCATAGTCTGGGGGTGAGTTATCGACACCACTGATTAATGGTTTGAGTTTTGGAGCTGCAGGTCTTGTTGGAGCTTTAGTAGATGAGAAGGATGACATTTAAAAAAAAAAACTTGAATTAAATGCGATTAATCACATTGTTTGGAAAGCCGAGTCCAGCTGCAGCAGCCACATCCAGGTCTGTAAATTAAAAAAATTCACTTCAATAGCATCTGTCTGCATCAAGAATAAAGAAAACATTCAAAGAAGGCATCAAAACAAAACCTCTGCTGACCAAAAAGAACTCAAAAGTCCATCCCAAATTTGCCAAAACATTTTCAGGATTGTTGGGAAAAGATTCTGTGTTCCACTTATGGGCCATTCCCATCTGTACCGGGTCGGCCCGGGCCGGGTAGCCCCAGTCGGCCCCAGCCTGGCCCGGTTGATTCCACACATCCTTGTCTTAAGCCCATGTGCACTGATTCTACCCACCAATCAGAGGCTTGCTCTAATGGAAGGTGTGAATTTGCTGTCAGCAGTGGGTGTGTTGGCCCTGGTCGGCCTGAAGCAGACCCCCTCGAGAAGAGGGCTGAGAATGAGCCTTGGTTGGCCCGGAAAAATACCAGGCCACCCAGATATGTAAACAACCTACGTTACCCGGCCCGGGCCGACCCGGTACAGATGGGAATGGCCCACTAGAGAATTGGGACAGAATTCATCCACAGCCGTGTGAGAGACTCCGTTATCACAGGTATTACTTTTAGGGGTCAAAAATAGAGATGTCCAGATCTGATCACATGATCAGAAATCGGTCCCGATCACGTGGTTTCAGACTGGATCGGGATCGGACGTTGCTTCCTGATCTGGACTCGGACACAGGGTTCAAATCACAGGAGAGCTAAGGGGAACCCGGTTCTCCTGAAAGGTTGTCGGGCTCCCCTGAAGCCCTTAACTTCACCCAGAGGGAGTCCAAAAAGAGACCCAGTTTCTACCTATATTATATTGTCTATGGACTCTCAGCATAGCGGGGATTCTTTTGAAGTGGAGACGCAGAGAGTGGCAGAGCGCTGGTTATTCATGCGCTCCAGGCAGGGGCGTCCTGCACACGGCCACGGTAACATTCTCAAAGTGGCGCCACCCAAAATATATATGATCAACACACGATCGTTCATGTCCGCTCATATTCTCTCTGGTATTTTCTGTCGTTTATTTGAGCACTCTGCCACTGCAGCGCTCATCACCTGTGGTCCGGTGACTCCATGTCACTGGCGTGGCCGGGCAGTGCAGCGCGGTCCGTCAGTCGATCCATTTGGTCTGCTTGGCAAAGTAGACGCCTGCCAGATATTTTAAGTAGAGATGCTATTTGTTTTTATATTAGACTTTTTTATGTTTGCACTAAAGTCCAAAAGTGAAGAATTTGTTATTTATTACTTGATTGTTCAGGCTGTCTCACGGAAGCGAGCTGTCTGTTAACAGAGTTATTAAATGTTAAAATAAAGTTAATTAAATAAAAAATAATGAACATTTTGCATTTGTTCGCTTTCTTTATTCTTTTTTTTATGTATCGAAAGTATCAGATCGGGACTCGTATCGGCAGATTCTCAAAGTCAAATGACTCAGACTTGAGGGCAAAAAAAACCTTGATATGTAGTCAAAAACGTTTTATGCATTCACGTATACAGTATCAGCTCAAAAAATACTTTTTTAAAACAGTTTTAAAAAAATAAAGTCAAAGCTGAATTAAGTCCTTCTGGTTTTAATTTGTCACCTTTCAACATAACAACTTTGGGTTTCTGAATAAATAATGAGGGGTGTCAAAACAGCTGGTCATTAAACCGTCAAACATCTTTTCCTGCAGTGAGTTAACGTCACTTTGGATCCACTAAACCTGAACTGCGTTCTCTTCCCCCATAAAACATTTGTCCTCGTTTCACTCTGTTTTTGGTGTTGTGACACACGTGTTAATCTGCTTGGCATTTTAAACAAGCGTCCCCTATCAGTCTGGGTTTCAGCTTTTTATTTTTTTCAATGTGCACGTTGACCTTAAAGATGTAACTGGATGACAGTATGGCACATCTGATCACACAGCATTGTGAAGAGGGTGTAGCGCTGACGTGCTTTATAAGCGCCTCAGGTGGCTTTTGGCTTGCCTTTTCAGCCCTGCTGGTTGTTTTAGCATCTTTAGCTAACACTGGTCTTGTTTTCCACCTCCACACAAAAAGCAAGTACCTGCATAATATTTTTTTTAACTGAAGGAACAAACCCGACATTCTGTTTTCCTCGTGTGTTTTTAATTCAGCACCAGGAACATATTCAGCCTTTTTCCAACAGATAAAAGTTTTCATTCTCTCTCCCCTACATTTTTGCTCCCACAGGGCCCTTTGATCGCCACGGCCTTCACTAACGGCTACCACTGAGAGTGTGAGTGTGTCGTCTTTAAGCTAAACCATTGTGCTGCAGCTGACCTGTGAGTAATCCGGCTGATTTGTGTCAGTGCAGAGCCGTAGCCTGAGAGCTGGAAGGAGCTGAAGCTGCTTTGGAGCTGATCTGGCCCGTCTCTGTCCAGTCCGTGTCTCCAGCTGAGGAGGTAGCTGAACTTTCACCCCAACCCCCCTGGTGTCAGCCACATCCAGTCCGCCCCCACTGACACCTCACAAAACCCCTCGCCAAATGAAAATGTCTAAAAAGAAAAACCATGGAAAAGGGCAAAAAAAGCTTATCACTGCAGAATAACCCGTTTAAATGCTGTATTTTTGCCATGATCAATTCAATTCAAAGATACTTTATTAATCCCAGAGGGAAATTAGAGTTTCAGTACACACAATTCTGAGATCAGACATACATGGGCAAAGACACATGACAAGATGTTACACTTTGTTGAATTGTTTGTGATGGCTCCATCATGTTTTTAGCTGTTTTTAATGAGTTATTGTCCTCATTAACTTGATTCTTCTGACTTAAGAGGAACCAGATCTCCATCGACGCCAGATTGAAGGTCTGCTGTAAAATGACCGAAAAACTGTACATTTGTCTTTATTCTTACTGAATTTCAAAAGCTGGGATTGCTACTAATTCTTGAAAATATGCCACAAACTGTATATCTTAGTTTAAGTTGTTACACTAATGATTGTTAGCTTTCATGAAATGTACAATTTTTGTAAAATACTGTAAATATGACTCGTTTCTGGGTGGCAGGACCTTGCTGATTTTTGTGTCCAGGAGGTGGAAGCCTTTTTGCAAAGTGGTACGATTGTTACTTATTTCAGTGTTGGAAAGCTTGACTGTTACTTTGTTGAATTCCCACCTGGAGGTCAGGAACATTTCAGATGGCGTGTCTGTCTCAGAGCAGCCGCACATGATTTAAATCATGCTTTTTTGTTGTTTTGTTACTGGCGCTTCCTCAGAGATACGATGCTTCTGAGTTCAGGCTGAGTTTGGAACAACTGTCACTGCTTTTGGGAGATAAGGGTGGGAAAACCCCTCTTTTAGAAAAAGGGTGGATAAATATACATGCTGTTTTCTTACTTTATCATGTTTCAATATTCAGTGATTATGAAAGAAAATGAAGGATGTGTCTGTTCGTTCATGACTGATTCCTGCAGGTTTTTGTGTACATGTGCTGTTATTGTTTTTTCTTCCTTCAGAGGGGTGTTCCTCAGTTTCAAAATGTGAACTATTAATCTGACTTTTAAAAAAAAATTATATTAACATCTATGTCTCAGTGTGGATGGTAAGCATTTCACCCCCATCCATTGCTGCATATCCACTGGAGGTCACAGGGTGACACCTTTCTCTTTGTAGACCAAAAGCAGAACTACTAGGACGTTGCACTGGCTGATCATGATAAATGTATTTTTCTAATAAAGTTAGCTGAAGAACAAAGCACTCTTGATCTAAAAAATACCCGGTTTTACATTTTGATACACTTGCTATCACTTTGCGGGTATTTTAGACTTTGATTTACTGAAAAATAACATTATTGTCAACACTGTAACATTTTCTGATGTTGTTTTTCTGTCATGTTATTCCCATCGGGAAAAACTACTTTTTAAAATTCCTAATAAATTATTTTAAAACATTCCACTTTGGTGTCCCGTAGCCTATGTTTTTATTTTTGAGGGCTTACTCGAGATGAGACATCCAACCTGGAGTCGGCTTGATTCGAAAAGGCTGACACAACTAAAAATAAAGGTTCATTTTCTCATTATATTAGAGACATACGCTGAGATTTAAATCTTGGCTCTAATCTTCAGCGATTACCCTGCTTGGTAGCTAAATCAAAATTAAACTGAGGGTATCAAGGGGACCGATAGTTTGAGCAGCTCTCACTTGCAAAGGTCTAAATATGATGGGGGAAAAGTTTTATTAACATTTTAAATATTCTTCTCATTTCTTGACATTATCGGAGTCTGCTGCTCAGACATCTGCCTCCTGCCTCTCTTCAGTCTAATTCATCTCCTCCATCATCACTGCTCCACTGCCTCTCCTCCCATTTCCACCTCCACCCTCCCAGTGTCTCGGAGCTGCTCGTTCGTCCCTCAGCTTTTACTCTTGTGGGACAGATGCAGCCTGTCATCAGCCACAAACCTCACCGGATGGTGGCTCTGGACGTCTTGAAGAACGAGTAGGCTTGAGGGTTACTCCTGTAAGGGCCCACCTCTCTGTCTCACCATGTCCACCCATTTCTGTCCAGCATGGTTCATTAGTGCAGTGGCTCTGGATTTCCCCGTTGGTGACTTACAAAGTGCATCTGAAACCAGTGAAGGTGTTATACAGCTGAAGTGAATCTATTTTCACTCTCTGGTTTTAAAAAATCCGTCAGGTCAAATCAAAGAAGTGAGACTGTCTCAGAAAGTTTGGCTCCATGCTGATGGGCTCTGATCAGCAAATAATAGAAGATATCTTACAAGCTCAGCTGGTTTTTGTTGTTTCTGGGTGGTTTGTTTCTTGGTTAAATGTCAAGCCAAGATCCGGTTTAAATTGTGGTAGAATGAAAACGCATGATTCTCTAAATTTTAATCCACAAAACTTCCATAAAGAAGCAATTCATGAGTATCTGGTGTAAGTTGTTGATCCTGAGCTCTAATGTCTAATCCTAGGATGCAGTAAGTTATTTTAAATCACTATAATCATTCTGAAGAGACCAGAAACAAACAGTTTCTTCATCCAGCTTTATTTTATTTTTTGGGAAATCTGTAGGAACCATGACTCCGTTTTGACCCTGGTAGTTACTTTTTGCAAACCCACAGAGAACTAGCCACAAATGTGAATAATGGATACAACCTTTTAAAGGTTTTGTTTTTGTCCTTTCAACCAAGGCAGACCGCATCACAAATGAAGGCTTGGCAAGGTGAGTGGATGCAGATCCTTTCTAAAAGATCCAGCCATTAACCACTCAATTTTACACACATTTGTTGTGTTTTTTTATATTTTAGGATCTCATCAGAGCTTTGCAGTTATCTTATTTTCTTATTTGTCACACAGGTCATCTTTTTGAGGATGTAAACATCCAACATGTCATAAAAAATAGTACTGGGATCACTTAAGCTGGCAAGAAACAGCCTAGTGCACACACAACTATAAATTAAAGCATAAATGTTTTATCTAAGAAATATTAATGCTTAATAGTTAATGAATCACTGATTCTGCAGTTCTAATCCACTTGATTTTTTTTACATATCCAGAAATATTGTCAAAACGATAGAGACATCATAGGTAAATCTTTCTGGTTTATAATTAAAAATATAAACTATTGACCAGAGTCACATTTTATTAGATACACGTTATTGTTATTGACGGGTTAGGGTGACTGCCCTCTGCTGGAAGAATTATTCATTTTGGGAATAGACAAGAACTGAATAGAATAGAATAGAATAGAATAGAATAGAATAGAATAGAATATTGATCCCACGGTGGGGAAATTCACTTGTTACAGCAGCACCAACACTTAAGAGAGTAATTTGAAGAAACAAACACATATGTTTATAAAGTTCTGTATGCAAAAACAAGAAAAATCATCATCTAAAGTCACTAAATTGAAAAATCATGGGGATCAAAGTTATTAATTTTATCAAATAATTAAAGGTTATGATGAATTACCTGCACTTGTTTAGCATCTTTCAGAGTCAGAGGACTCCAAATCACTTTATACTAACTACAGTGTAGGATTTGGTAAATTGAGTTCTTTAAGAGCTCAATATATATTACCTCTACTTATGACCAATAAGCTGTGATACTCTATATAAATATAGAATATCAACCTGCTTGGTCTTTGTGTTTAATCAGAACATTCTAGGATTCTTTGTTTTATTCGGGAATTGTAAACACTTCGTTTTGATTCAAGGAAAGAGCCAGGTTTGTAAAAGTAAGAATTTATTTTCCAAACAATGAAAACATGACAAGTTAACTAATATTTACTGTGATGGATGAATCTACAGGTGCTGGCCAGTAAATTAGAATATCATCAAAAGGTTGAAAATATTTCAGTAATTCCATTCAAAACGTGAAACTTGTACATTATATTCATGCAATGCACACAGACCAATGTATTTCCAATGTTCATTACATTTAAATTTGATATTTATAGGTGACAACCAATGAAAACATCAAATCTGGTATCTCAGAAAATTAGGATATTCTAAAGGCCAATGAAAAAATGTTTGTTTCTCTAATGTTGGCCAACTGAAAAGAATGAACATGAAAAGAATGTGCATGTATAGCACTCAATACTTAGTCGGGGCTCCTTTTGCCTCAATAACTGCAGTAATGCGGCGTGGCATGGACTCGATCAGTCTGTGGCACTGCTCAGGTGTTATGAGAGCCCAGGTTGCTCTGATAGTCGTCTTCAGCTCCTCTGCATTGTTGGGTCTAGCGTATTGCATCCTCCGCTTCACAATACCCCATAGATTTTCTATGGGGTTAAGGTCAGGCGAGTTTGCTGGCCAATCAAGGACAGGGATACCATGGTCCTTGAACCAGGTGCTGGTGGTTTTGGCACTGTGTGCAGGTGCCAAGTCCTGTTGAAAGGTGAAGTCTGCATCCCCATAAAGTTGGTCAGCAGCAGGAAGCATGAAGTGCTCTAAAACTTCCTGGTAGACGGCTGCATTGACCCTGGACCTCAGGAAACAAAGTGGGCCAACACCGGCAGATGACATGGCACCCCACACCATCACTGACGGTGGAAACTTTACACTGGACCTCATGCAACGTGGATTCTGTGCTTCTCCGCTCTTCCTCCAGACTCTGGGTCCTTGATTTCCAAAGGAAATGCAGAACTTGCTTTCATCAGAAAACATAACTTTGGACCACTCAGCATCAGTCCAGTCCTTTTTGTCCTTGGCCCAGGCGAGACGCTTCTTGCGCTGTTTCTTGTTCAAGAGTGGCTTGACACACGGAATGCGACACCTGAATCCCATGTCTTTCATGAGTCTCCTCGTGGTGGTTCTTGAAGCGCTGACTCCAGCTGCAGTCCACTCTTTGTGGATCTCCCCCACATTTTTGAATGGGTTTGTCGTCACAATTCTCTGCAGGGTGCGGTTATCCCTAGAGCTTGTACACTTTTTTCTACCACATTTTTTCCGTCCCTTCGCCTGTCTGTTAATGTGCTTGGACACAGAGCTCTGCGAACAGCCAGCTTCTTTAGCAATCACCTTTTGTGTCTTGCCCTCCTTGTGCAAGGTGTCAATGATTGTCTTTTGGACAGCTGTTAAGTCAGAAGTCTTCCCCATGATTGTGGTGCCTTCAAAACAAGACTGAGGGACCTTTTAAAGGCCTTTGCAGGTGTTTTGAGTAAATCAGCTGATTAGAGTGGCAGCAGGTGTCTTCTATATTCAGCCTTTTCAGAATATTCTAATTTTTTGAGATACCAAATTTGGAGTTTTCATTAGTTGTCACTTATGAATATCAAATTTAAATGTAATGAACATTGGAAATACATTGGTCTGTGTGCATTGCATGAATATAATGTACAAGTTTCACATTTTGAATGGAATTACTGAAATATTTTCAACCTTTTGATGATATTCTAATTTACTGGCCAGCACCTGTAGATGGAGTAGATGTGGTATATGGTGCCTATGTGTGAATGTGATGTTATCAGAACTTCCGTATCTAGGAAAGCTGCGTTCTGGGTGTAAAAGAATTTGGTTTGCGTTAAGCTATGAAGTTGATTCTTATCAAAAAGCATCAGACGCAATCACACTTCTACCTCACCCTTTGGAGACCCTCTTCACGGATACGGAGGTCATCGAGGTCGGATGACCTCTGAGCACCCAGGTCCAGTAGACTGACCACAGTGCCGACTTCTCCAGTCCAGAGATGTCACCAGGCACACAGGTTGGATGGAACCGTTTGCGTCTAGACTCTTAAGGAGTCGGAACAAAATCAGCTTTGTTCTGCAGGAACCGTTCGCTGTGTCAGCTTTGCAACAACCTTGATGGCGTGTCAAGGCTGCTTCTTAGTTAAAGAGACTTCACCACGGACGGCCGTTTGCGTAGCTTCCTCTAGAACGCTGTAGAGCTGGAACACTGACTGATGTGAGCTGGAACTGGAACTGGAACGAACTGCTGAATCACCAGAGCGATTCTGTTTTAATATTCTCATGTTATGATTTGCGTGGCCAACCCGAGGTTGACATGTTGAGGAATATTACCAAGACAACCTCAGAAAACACGCCTTCTTTCAGATACCGGATGCTCTGATCTGGGGTAAAGGAATATCTATGTGTCACGCGTTTGACTTAACTTTAACTTGTCCTTGTGTGAGTGTAGATGGTGATGGCCTCGTCATATCAACATTACTGATCTATATATAAATCAATGTAATCATAACATAACATTCATTTCAAACTTCAGTCATTCAAGCACAGATATTATATATAATTATTATAAGTGACAATAAACAAATGTTTATTTAATGATTATTTCACTTATAAGTTTTAAAAGTTCACA